GATAAGCCACAGCCAAACGAACATGCTTTTGATAGATTTATGAGGGAGCAGTAGGTACTAATTTAATCAGTAATCATGCCCGAGTTGTGACCGTTGTTGACAGATTCTAGCTTAGCTCGCGTCTTTTATGTAGCCTAAACTAGATGGAGCAGTTCCACCAAACACAATACAATGGACGATCTGACACGGAAAAGGGAGACGCGGTTTCAGAAAATAAAAAGGGGCGGAGAAGAAGAATCCGGTGTGTCTAAGGAGCCTGTTTGAATTCTCATGTCTAAATTTTAGAGCTCTAAACTTTAGAGCTAAAGCTCTAAATAGGTGGTATAAAATTATCTCTAAACTTTAGCACATCTCAAATTAGAACTTTAGAGCTTTATACCTTAAAAGTGAACTAAAGTGCTTTAAAGTTTTTAGAACTCTAAAGTTTAGAGATAGGGATCCAAACAGACCCTAAAAGTTTCACGGCTGCATTACGAAAAGGTCGTTTGCATATGGGCGTTGTTAAGACCAGAGGGAACGGAGTATAAAAATAAATATACTTGCTAACGTCCGGACGTCTGATCCTGGCACTAACATCCAAACGGTGTCTGCATCTAGAGTGAGCGAGCACCTAGTGCGTCGGGCTCGCGAGCGAGTGCACCAACAGTAGACCCGCAGCGTCCCGAACGTCGCCCACGTCGCCAACAGCTTCCCATGCTTATTCCATGTGTAACACCCGATTTACTTTTGAAACATCTAGATGTAATACTTGCAGCATAAAAAAGACAGATGAAACATTTGAAACAAGCGTCTAAAACACTTGCGAAAATACCTGAACAAGATTTGAAAACCATTGCAAACATATGCAATATCTAGATGAAACACTTGCAAACATATATATGAAACACCTGAAAACACTTAAAACATATGTTTGCAACATGCATGTATATGCAACATCCAGGTAAAATACTTGCAACATACGTCTAGAACAGATGAAACATTTGAAACATACACTTGAAATCATATGTAATATCTCGATCTACTTTTGTAACCTCGATATACAATACTTGCAATATACCTCTAAAACATCTAAAACATTTGAAACATACTCTTCTAACATGCAGTTTTCACCCTTCTTCTTTAGTACAACGCAACACAGAGCGGGGGAATGACCGATTCTGGCAAGCCGATGGCCGAGGATGGTGGCGCAGCCTGGCAGCGGCCAACTGCTCCTACGCCTAGCTTGGGCCCGACCAGCGATGGCCACCTCTCCTGGCCGCCTGGCCACACATGGCGGCCGGCGCCTGCACGCCTTCGTGGCTACTGCTGGCGAGCACGGGCAGGCAGGACCACGAGGATGGAAGAGGTAGTAATGGAAGGTGGTCAGCGGCAAAGGAGAAGGGCGAGCACGGCGCCGCCAACCACAAATGCCCCACCCCAGTGTCGCGTTGAGAAGACGAGCAGCGGTGTGGGGAAGAACTATGTCAAGTAAGGATTGTTGGGCCATCTTTATGGGCTGGATCGAATTAAAATATCGTCCGATAGAAAAACACCATCCGGACATCCACACAGGAGCATTTCCCAAAAAGTAAAAGCATCTCCGATTAAGGGTATGTTTGGATCCACCAACTAAACTTTAGCTGGCTAAACTTAGCTGCTACGGATCCAAATGGGCTAGCTAAAAGATCAACTAAAGTTTATTAGCTAAATTTAGCTGAGTCTATTAGTTTGAGGATCCAAACACCCCAGCTTTAAGTTTAGCTGGGAAAACTTTTAACTGGCTAAAGTTTTACTTTGATATTTTAGCTAGTTATAAACTTTAATTGGGTGGATCTAAACAGGCCCTAATATGGGTCGAGGCAGACAAAAGAAAGAGAGAAAGGGGCGCTATAACGCAGGAGTTGTGGCGGTTGTATGTTACAAGGTCCCTATAGACAAGGGGACAAGTAAATCATCGCTTTTGGGGTAGGCAGCCCTCTACCATCCATCCCATTGCATTCCTCTCATAGAGTACTGTACCGTCTCAGACCAAATACATCTATGGAAAGAAAGGATTTCATAGAAAATATTTATTTTTCTATTTTTTTATCCCCATACTTTCTGTTATTCCGGTAACTATAGATTGATTGTCCCTGCCTAACTAAATGGTAATGGTCTAGGGAGCGCAATTGCTATTGAATCCTATATGATTTATTAGTTGACTAGTTAAGAACTAAACTTTAGACAATTAAATTTTAGTCACTAAATTGAAACTATTTAGATCATAGGCTAAAGTTTAATTCTAAATTAAAAAAGGACTTTTACATTCAATCCCCCGCTCCCCCACCCATTGGTGCGAATGGTGGATCTCGGTTGCCACTTGCCAGCGGTGGGATGGAGGCATGGAGACAAAAGGCGTGTTTGTTTGCCTGGACGAGGGCGAGATGCAGACCATTGAGCTGCAGAGGGCCGTGTTTGTTTGCCTGGATGCCGTTTGGGCCTGGCTAGCACGTTGCTTAAAGTAGCCCAGAGCCAGGCTTCAGGAAAACGAAGGAGGGGTTCGTTTCCTTAGGGCCTGGCCAGCTCCATTCGCGAGAGGACGTGAGATGCCGATGCCGTGACCTTCCCTTCCCGTCACCCCCTCTGTCCGCGTATTCTTCCTCGCCGTTTCCTCGCCGGAGGCCGCATCCTCCTGGCGCTCCTCCACCGCCGCGCCCGCCTGCTGCGCCCACCCCTAGTCGTCGCGCACACCTGCCGCGCTCGCTCCTCCACTGCGGCACGCCCTACTCGAAGGAGAGGAGAGGAGAGGAGGGCGGTGCAGGATCTTCGCGATCGCCGGAGAGGAGAGGAGAGGAGGGGAGGGGAGGGCGGCGAACACCAGAGGAGAGGAGGGTCGCGGTCGGGGCTCCACCGGCCTTGTGGTGGCGCGTAGCGCAGGACCTGCCTTCTCTGTCTCCGGTCCGGCACCGGCAGCGCCAATGCTTGCCGCCGAGCACGGGGCGCACCACCGGACGACGAGGAGCCTACCAAACCATGAGCTCCAGCACCTCCTTGCGTCTGCCTCCACCGTGCCCGCCCTTGCGCTCTCCCTCTTGCACCCCTCCTTCCTGTGAACACAATGTGCTCGATGGAATGCCAGAGTAGAGGTAACTCTACCATATGCAGCTCAAAGGTGACCACATCTAATTGTGCAGGCAAACAAATAGGATCTCTACCTAGCCTGGCTCTGCAGAGAAATAAAACCAAACAAGAAGGTGTTGCACCTGTTGGGCCTGTCCTCTGGTGCCCTGGCTCTCCTCGTCCGACCAGGTTGGGAACATCCAGGGAAACAAACACGCTCGAAGATGCTGTGGCTCGTGGACGTCAGCTCGCTGCTCGTATACACCGGTGTGCGTGGATGTGGCAAAGGCAAAGGTGGATGGCTCGACCGGCTTAGGACACCAATGCATGGGGTCAAAGCAGAAAATCCCTCATTGTGCCGATGTCTTTGCGAAGGCAGAGATGCACACTCGACTCGCGGATCTCGGCGTTGACATCAGCATCCATCAGGCGCGGGCCATGCGACACGCGGTGTGTGGCACTGCCAACGAGGACAAAGAGCCAGGGGGAGGGGCTTGGCTACCGGTGTTGGGGGATTGGGCGCAGTCACGGCTGCCCGTTTCTTTCCGCCTACGAGGGGTTGGCTTCCAGGAAGAGATGAAAAGCGAGGTTAAAGGTGGTAGGACTTCACTTCACTAGTAAAGCTATTTTTTTTCCTTTAGCTCCACGAACGGCTTCACCGATGGAACTGAAGCCGTTTTAGTAACTCATTTGGCAAAACGGCTTCACCTGTCTATCATGCATGGTCGAGAGAGGTCAATTGTCCAAGATACCCATGTGTACGCACACACATATGTAGAAATATTTGCAGCTTTATGTTTCTATATGTTTTTTCATCCGAGTAAATTTGAATATAAAATTTAAAATTTTATAAATTACAAATAAAATTCTAATATTACAAATAAAGAATAAAAAATAGCATACGGAATTCGCAACCAATATGAATGCATTGCTTTTTGCATATAAGCCTGACGCGTACGGAGAGGGAAGCTGAGAAGAAAAGTTCAAGTTCGCATACATGGGGGTGCGGCTCTGTTTCCTAGTGGCAATTCAAATAATTTCATCGAGTCACGGGTAGGGGGTTATGGAGCTGGCGAAGGAGTCAGGAGAAGCCACTAGTTTTTGTTTTATCCTATCTTAATTTTTTTTTATGAGAGCACGTTTTTAGAGGGCTTCATCCATGGAGTCATTCCTTTTTTATCCCATTTGTCATAAAACGGTTCCAAACGGCTCCTGAAGCCGCTGGAGAAGCCTTGCCAAAACTGGGCCTAAATTTATCTTTGGAAATATTGGTCGTGCAACTTCGAAAGATTGCGATCTCTGTGAAATACCATTGAAAATTTATGCCCCCATAAAATACCACCGAAAGGTTGGCCAAAGGGTAGGGGACTGACTCGTGTTCCGTCTTTCTTTTTCTTTTCTTTTTTGCGAAACCCGTCTTTCTTAAACTCACTGGTGACAACCACGAACGTGAGTTAACCTCTGATCAATTTTGCTTTGTTGCATTAAACATTGTAGATTTATTTGATTTAATTCTAATAAGGTTGGGCTACAACCAATGAAACACAACAAAGATAGCCTGCTCATTATGATGGACTCTGATAGATCTAGGCAACCATGTGACGAGTAGTTTTATCTGCATCAGAGCTTTGTATAGAAAAGCTATGGTTTTGTTAAAATACAATGCACGGGAAAGAGAAATTCCGGTAATTGAAAATGTAAAAAATAGTAAAACAGTGATCTGATTCCAGATCGATTTTTTAGTATATAAGTATAAGCTGGAGAACCACGCATGCTCTGAATCTGCGTAGAATTAACCACCAACCAGGCAACCAGTACTGCACAAACATCATCACCATCAACACGTTTACAGAAAAGTGAAAACGCCGATTCATCATCCAGCAAGCAGCTTCATCCGTAACCAATGGAGGGGCAGCGCCGGCTCAGATCTTCTTGCTCGGCTCGCCGGACTCGCGGAAGGACCAGAACCAGACCAACGGATGCCTCCGGAAGATATCCACTGCCGAGACGAAGGAGACGATCGCCGTCTGCAGCACAGGATCTGGAAACGCCTGGACGCGCCGGGGACGAGGAAGCTCAGGAGAGTGAAGAGCGCCCCGGCTGACAGGAAAAACGAGACGTGGAACATCGCCAGCTTGAACTCCTTCCGATCCTCTGCAGCCGCCGACGACGTCTCCTCCTCCGCCCGCTTCCCCGACATCGTCTCTGCCTTGGGCTCCTTCCCCGCCGCAACTTGCTTCCGAGCCCCTGAAAAGAAAAAAGACAGCGCCCGATGGTTATGATGTCGTGGGCTTGAAGTTGTTGCGCGGGCTGAGCCGGGAGACGGATCGATTATTGGGCCTTGAACCGGGTCTCGTCATGGGGCTCCTAACCTCTTATACGACGGTCCGTAAAGGCTCCCGCAGGCCGTGAAACCAAACTGCAGCCGGACTCCACCCGAAGGCCGAAGCCCCCCTCCTTTGCAGCCGCTGGCGCTAGCTCGTCCCCGTCCTGACCGGCGGCCGTCCTTGTCCTTTTTTTTTTTTGGGTGAAAAACCGCAACCTCCCACCACCTTTTCTTTTTTCCCGAGGAACCTTCCCACCACAATGTTTCGGACTCGGATGCTGGAATGCTCCTAGTCCCCGAGGGCACGAGGTTTATTGAAAATCTTTAGAGCTCCTTTGGATCAACCATTTCCCTAGTGGATTGGAGGGGTTGAATCCTCCTTTGAAACGTAGCAATTTCACAGGAATTATATGACAATTTCACAGGGATTCAGTTTATTTTTCGCAGGAAAAACGGAAAAAAAAAAACCCACATTCCAAAGAGGGCCTAAGTCATCATGTTGTAATCAAACTGTTCTCTCTTAATAAAAAATACGTAAGCACATGGGCCACTCCTAAGAATCCAATAGAATCATTGGAGCTGAGCTGGAGAAACAAAGATGCAGTAGAGCAGTGCACCACACGCCAAGCACACGAAGCACAAGGGTCGTGCGCGCGCATGCATGCGTGCCCGGCCTGCTTCGTCCCGTGTCTCTCGCGTCGCGCCTGCCGTTCGTGGACCTGCGTGCGTGCGGCGCGCTGGCAACTGTCATGGTCAGTGGCATCGCATGCATGCGTACGTGCCGCTGCCGCCCACAGGCCACATCTGCTACGCTAGCCATAGCCTGGCCTGCTTCATTTTGTCCGGTGTCGCGCCAGGTTAACGACGCCGTCGTCGACGGCGCGCGATCACATCACGTACGTCAACACTACTACGGCACAGCGCTGTGCATGCAACCGGTGCCAGTGCACCCAGCGGCGGTACGTAGTTCTGGGCGCGCGGCGTACCATCGTTTTCGCTTACGTGTACTACCGGAACCACCACTACTAGCTAGCTAGTGCGTGTCGATCTAGCTGGAATTGGATATACAGTGGTACGTACGGTACGTGTGCGTGCATGCACTGGGCAGGCCGGGTACTCATCCATGCATGGCAGCGGCCAGGTCTGGTTGACACCTTGTCACCGGGCGAGCCAAAGCCATTCCTTGGCCTGGTTCACTTTGCAAATTTTTTGAACTCGATGAATAGTACCATTTTCGTTTTATTTGGTAAATATTGTTCAATCGTGGACCAACTAGGCTCAAAAGATTCATCTCGTGATTTTCAACTAAACTGTGTAATTAGTTTTTTTTTTTACCTACATTTAATACTCCATGCAAGCGACTAAAAATTGATGTGATGGAGAGAGAGTGAAAAAACTTAGAATTTGGATGGCATCTAAACAAGGCCCTTGTTTGCGTGATTGCGTACGGACTACGTACGGAGTACTACGGACACCCAGGAATTTCTTTTTATTATTTTTAACACTGTTTTAGCACTATTTTCAAATCTAACACGTCTTAACTTCTTCTTTTTTTAAAAAAACTAACCCTTTTGGCTAAGCCATGCATGGTGGTGCGGCAAAACTAGAAAGTTTTGAGCATCTTAACGACTTTAAATGCAAAAGCTCAAAACTAGAAAGTTGTAGATCTCGTCGAGAGCTACAACTTTCATATAAAAAGTATCTTCATTTGACACCATATAAGAAAGATACGATTTTCTCAAGGCCACAAGCGCTTGTACGCGATTAATACGATACTGAAACTTTATATTATTTTCTTTGAGCATCTTAACGACCTTAAATGAAAGAACCCAAAATTAAAAAGTTGTAGATCTCAAGGTCTATAATTTTTATATAAAGATCATCTTAATCCGAGATCATACGAAGATAATACAATTTTTCTAAGTTGCGCCACGTCAGCCCGTTTGTTGCTGCTTAAGAAACAAATTCATGATGAATTGAGTACAGAAGAGTTGGTCACTGTAGGAGAGACTCCTCTTCTTTACAGTATTTTCTGCATTTAGCCTCTCCATACATCGGACGGTGGTAGCGGGGACTCGAGACGCGGTCGGTCGATCCGGTGCTAGATCTACGCCCCCTGAATGTGCCGGTGCGTGCCTTGTGCCTGCCAACGAAAGCTGGAATGCCAATTATCCTGTCCAATTTGCATCATCTGCTAGCACAACGAGCCACTCAATTCCAACAATTTAAATTTCAAGTTTCACCATATCATTTTAAGTTGAATACTATCAGCTTAATTTTTATTTTTTTTTCTCGAATACGTAAAAAGTTTGCGCATCTTTGTATTAAGAAAAGAGAGTTTTTACACGACGCGCCGTTTAGTGCGCGCTAAGGAGGACACGAATGAATACATTTGAACAAAGCCTCCCTAGCTAGGTAGGTGCTCCGTTGGCGACCACTCACGCACTAAAAAATCTAGTTTGATTAGATTAATTCTACAGTAGTATATTTGAAAATATAAATGTTAATATTGTTATTTGTAAAATTAATCAAACTTAAAAAGGATTTACTTAGTCTCGACCTATAATTACGGTTTTTTTTACGGCGCGTACTACAGGTTTCTTGTATTCATAATTTCTTTTTCCTGGGAGTGGGGCATGCAGTGGATATATCCTATAACGAATTCAATTATACTTATTTTGTATCATGAATGTTAGTACTTTTTTAATATAAATCTAGTCAAAGTTTAAACCGTTTGACTTCTTGAAAAACGAGAATTGCATTATTTTGTGGATGGAGAAAGTATTTCTTTTTCTGAGAGTATTTACCGAATCACGTTGTCAATTTTATAATTTTTATCGAATTGCTAAAATAAATTTACCGAATTATATATAATCTTTTTTGACGGCATACCTCGGACAAAATCATAGATTCGCCGCTTAGTGGCCGGGCATGGAGTGGTCGCATCCAAATCCAAGAGCCCCTCAACCTCAAAGGGGGGCCATCTATCAGGCCATGGCCATGCATGCAGCAGCAGCCGTCCCGTCGTGGGTCGGTGTCGTCGTGTTAGGTCGAATCCACACGTCGCGTCGTCCGTCCCTCAGTCATGTGGTTCCGGGTTCCGGATCGACACCAGACGAGGAGTTGACACACCTGACAGACAGACACGAAGCGTAGCGAACAGACCTCGGCATGGGCATGGGCATGGGGCACGGCCTGGAGCTCTGGGCTGGTGGTCGTGGTGACTGTGGACTGCTGCGCCCGTGCATGGCAGCATCGGCATGCATGCACAGCGCAGGCGCAACTGGCATGTAGCTTCCGCATCCGAACGGCTCCGCGAGAGAGGAAACGAGGAGAGAGAAAATTAGCTCCGAGGAACAGTGCTTTTGCAGCGGGAGCCGGAGCCCGGCCAAACGGGCTCGAATTCAGCACTGCACTCGACCTGTTGCCGCTGGCCGGCCCTGATTCCACCTGCAGCCTTTGCATTGCATTGACTTGGAGACATCGCCTCTGCCTGCAGCTAGCCTCGCTCGGAGTTACCGCCAGTTTGTTCGTTTTTTTTTTTTCAACAGTGTTTTTCTCTCACAGTAATTCAGTTAGAATAGTGTTTTTAGTCACGTTCAACCAAAATTCAGCGAGCCGAACAGGCCCTGGTCTCCCTCGCTCGCTCGTCCTGTTCAATTCGAACGCTTCGATCCCTCTGCCAGACACTGACCCTCTCGAGGAGTTCACTGTGCTTTGCATCGGCATGTCCGTTCGCAGTCGTATGGACAAGCACAAGCACAACATGGGCCGTTAGCGTTCGTACTGGCTACAGTAGCTGGATAGTAATACGTGCTACTCGTAGGTCGTCGCCAGGTCCCTGTGGTGCAAAACCGATCAGCCGTCGGTGGATGGATGCCGCCCTGGCGCGAGCGACTGGGCGTGTACGTAACCGTAACCAGCCTGAATACCTGATGAGACGTCGTGCCACAACCAACCAACCATCCAAATTCCAAAAATCCAGAGGTGGTTTCTGAACCATGCAGCAGTTCCCAGTTCGCCGGCGTCCGTCGTCCACCGTCCCCAGCAGCGAGCGGCACACGTACATGCCGGACGGAGGACGAGACAAGGCTCTGATCTCATCCATCTTCACGCCTGCGCCGGCGACACCAAAGAGGCATTTCCACTTGCCCGTGTCCTGTCCGCTACGAACACGATTATAAGCTCGCAGCCTCGCCTAAACAAAAGCACAGCAGGCCGGGCAAGTCAGAGTTTATCATGGTGTGGTGTGGGCGAGAGAGAGGAGAGAGCAAACAGGAGCCAAATGTCTGTCAGTGCAGTGCAGATGCTTTGCTTGCGCCGGCTGGGCGCGTTCGATGTGACTGTCTGCGGCTGCGCTCTCGTCGTCTCTTTCGATCCTTCTTCCTTCACCGGCCATCTGGCCGGCTTTAGTTACTGTGCCTGCTTTTATCTTTTACGTGCACTGCATTGCTGGGTTTACTCGTTTTCTTTTCTTGGAACAGCGCCTCCGGCCTCTCTTCGATCCTCGTTGCTTTCCCGGCTTTTCATTTCCAGAGACGGAGGCCGGTTCCGTCCGTTGCGCTTCGAGCACTAGTGTAGTGCCTTCTCGGATGGTGCAAAAATGTTGTCCCGGTGCTGTGCAAAAGAACAGGCTTGCACTCCAACCACGTGTGCCAAAACTCGAGAACAGGTCTGCACTTCCACAGCAGAGTTTCAAGGAGCACTGAAGAGCAAAACCATCTCTGGAGGAGAGCATCATGGAGGGGGCGCCAAGCCAACCTTTTTTTGCTGTACAGACAGAGCGGCACTGAGTGCAACAAATGCCATGCCTCACCAAACTGCTCTCGAGCACGACACAAAAAGACACCCACATGATTCCTCTCTAGCCATGCCGAGCCTCTCTCACAAATCATTCCTCCCTCCCTCAGGCTTGTTGTTAATTCTTATATATAGGAACAATTATATTATATATATATCCTAAAGCTAATTCATCCCATGTACCATTCACTGCCTTAAAACAGTTCCACAACTTGCATGGGATACACAGACACTAGCTGATTTTACAAAGTTTCTAAAACGAAAAGAAGCAAAAAAAAACATATTCTGTTTGTCGACACTCCAGGGTCCAACTACCAAAGAAGAGGACAAAAAAATTGAAGCTAATATGTTGCTAGGAGGAACTAAGGGGGCTAAAGCTGGATGAAATGTATAGTTAGCGACACAGGCTGGTACATCTCTGACGACATAGCCGTCGTTTTCCATTGGTCAGCAGCAAAATCGCCCAATGTCCTGCAGCAACCCAGCATATACATTGTCTGTTAGTTAATTTGGTTTTTGAAGTAACAAAGGATGGTGTTGCCAGATGATTGATATAAACTGTACCTTTTCATTCAGTTAGTATTTGCACATTCTTTCTTCGGTATCTGCCATCAAGCATGCCAAACAAAGAGACCATTAGGTTTCAGACCATAACGATTCACAGCCACATCTTTGTCACTAAGTATATGTCTCAAGTTGGCAAACAAATCGTCAAGGGGGAAATTGTGTAAGCGTACTCACATCTGATTGTCTAGAGAACTGAATCTGGAACCCTACATATAGAACATTTGACCAACCTCCTAACCTGCATGAAGCATCCAGAAAGAGTAAATAAACAGTGGAGCACTATTACAAGTCAAGGGTTGCCAAAAAAGGAAACAAAAAATGAATGCAAAGTCAACAAGGCGCAGAGGCATCTCTAGGCCTCAATGCAGCCCGAACGAAGTGCAAGTTGTAGTGTCATTGGGGACTTCTCGGTTACAAGAAGTTAGCTTACCTTATATCATGATATAAGTCAACTCAATAAAACTTTATTTCTCTATAGCTCTGAGAATGTGGCAAGAGCTCTTCCACCTCAATTCTAGAGCTGAAATATCCCATGTTTCTCCTCCTTTGGTGTACAATGTCAACCTCTGCCAAGAAAATACTGTACACCGGCCTGTGGTCAGAGAAACGAGACTCTCCACGAACATAAGACAGCTGATTGAGGCCGTTACCATACCAGAGAATGCGATCACACCTGTTCGTTTATAAGCAAGATATGAAAGAAATGAGATCTTCAGTAAAATAAAAATACAGAAAAATATAGCAGATGTATCTATATTGTATTAACTAAAGGAAACTACCATGCTGGTGTTCTCCTCTTCTCTTTAGGGTGCCTGCCCTCTCCAGCATACCGATCTGAGTTGAATGAATATTTGTATGTGGGAGGAAAATAGATCCTCCCTTCTTTCCAACCCTGGAAAACACGTCCATATCTTTGTTGCATCCGCAGCTGTTTCATAAGAGGTAAACTCAAAGGTTTGTCGTAGCCTTCATGATATAAAAAAAGGGGGAGAGATAGAAGGAATAAATTGTAGAATGCAGTTTACGCCCTTCTCTTTTAGTCTTCTGAAACAACTTAATCGTCCAATTTGGTAGATTACTAAAGTATATTTCAGAGCGTTAACAGCTGAACAGTCATTTGCAGTAAAACTGAAATATATGCTAACAAAAAAGCACTTCAAGTTACCTGATCTTTCTCCAACAATTGCTTCCAGTTATGCATTTCGACAAGAGCCTTTGCCGAACAATACGATAGGGCAATCCGATAATTCAAATCCCCAAGCCATATAATCCGACTGCAATTGCATAAACAGTTAACAGACAAGTTCCCATTAGCTTCTATATTGATCTGCAATCTGCTGAAAGATACAAGTGAAGTCTCTTACTCATGCTCAAGAATTGTTTCAGGTGACTTAACATCACCAGCACCACGAACCCGTGGGAATCTGGTCTTCCTTAAAATTTCTAGAACATCAGAATTCCTGCGCAGTTCATCCCCATCCTTTTCCCCTGACGTCAAATGACAACATATGAAGCAGAAGCTTGTCTGGTGCAAAGACATGCTTATTGAAATTGAACCCTACAACAAAAGTGGAGGAGCTTACTAAAGTTGTTTTGGACATAATGACAATGACTAAAATGTTACAGTAAGGAATATCTCCAGGATTTTTTATTATTTGCTACCTTGTTTCCAAGATAACCCATCAATCCTCTACCCACACAAGAAACTTTCAAGTTTCGAACATCATCTCTTATTTCATTGCGTACCCAAACTGTGAGAAATATGCCAACCATTTGTTTGCTGGCAACTAAGCAATACCTGAAAGCCACATGCATACTCAAAGGATTAGTTTCAAAGGAATTAAAGCCCAGACATGTGGTACAGTTAAATGCATTATGAAGCATTCACAATACCTAGAGCTGTTTGATTGATCATCATTTTGTTCAGAAGGTGCAGATGCACTGTAGCTATGAGGGAATGGTGAAATTTGTGCACCATCACTCACTTCCATATCTATGTTTTCCTCATCAGGTGATCCAGGGCAGCGCAAATTTCCATCAAAATCACTTGGTCTGCCTCCTAAGTTGACTGGATCGCAAACGCTAAACCTGCGGTCTAGCCTTGGTTGCGGGAACATGAAGTCCCCATCCATTCTTAAACTACGGCTGAGGTTGTGGAACGACCGGCGATGAAAGAATGAGAAGTTCTCCTGCCTTCTTGCAGACCCCTCAAAATCAGCATCCAGTTCTACAACTGGATCCAGGACTGGTGAGGGTGTATGATAGCCACCACAACCACTAGCTCCAGGATTCTTGTTCAGTGTCCGCCTAATAAGGGACACCCACTTCTTGGCTGGAAGGTTATCTTCAGTGCCAAGAACGTTTCCCGCGTTCAAAGGGACAATCTCTTGAAACCTATCAACGATTTGAAGATCAAATTAACTGAAAAGCCTAAAAACCACTACCAACTAAGTCAAACTAGCTCGAAGGGAAGGCCATCCAACTGATACATACCCTAAGACATAGATATCGGCAGGAGGAGAAGTATGGAGCCATTCATCTAAATTTAGCCCCCTTGGTGGTGACTTACCACCGACGTTCCACGTTGCAGCAAAGATCCTACATGCAAATGAACAGAAGAGAATAATGATCGACAAGATTCCTTTAGCATATTATTGCAGTCAAATTGCATGAACTACCCAACAGTAATATGGACAATGATTGAAGGACAGAAGATTCCATCCGATCTACTAAACTGAAATTTCCTAATTACACAGCAGACATGATGGCCCTAGCAGAAAACACCGCATGGTGAATCAATGGTACCTGTAATCTTGCACTTCCGTCAGGCGTGCTGCATCAAAATTATTCTTCCCTCGGCGAGCGCGTTCAGCACTCCGCTTTGAAGACGATCGGTCTAGAGGCCCACAAGTAACAGCAGGCATGAACAATCATTTAGCATGACAGAAGAAAAGTGCTGATGCAGAACAAAGATTGAACGTACTGTAGATAAACAAAGTGGAACTGAGCAGCAGCTGTGGTGACTGGTGATGAGAGAAAGCTGCATCTCTGGAGCTACTGTACGAAAGAGGGAGTGTGTGTGGTCCAAATGGTTCATTGCACTTACCAGTTCTGCTTTTCTTGGCAGCAGTGCTTGCGCTTGCTTCGCTCGAGGAACAGCTGGGCCTCCATGATCCACTACCACCGTCCCTTGCTAGAATGGATCAGAAGGCCAGTTGAGCAGAAAAGAAAACGAAGGAACCATACGCAAAGGAAAAGGTGCTTGCTTTGCTCGTGATCTTTGATGAAATCTCTATCCGATTCAGTCAGAAAATCGATTCAGGTAGATGGGTCACTCCAAGCAAATCAACCAAACGTTTTTGCAGGATCTGTGGCAAAAAGGCTATTGTTTGGTTGGACCTTTACAGGGCTGGTGCATCACGAGATCAAAACTGGAAACTGAAATGCACAAGGAGATATCTACGAGTGGAAAGTGTTTGACAGCGACATTTCACATGGTTGCTGATCTACCATCGAGTCGACACTGGGAATCTAATGCGGATAACTACAGAAACAACTGGGTGTTAAGAGGATAACCTCAACCTCAAGCAATGAGCGTTCTTGGATCAGGCAAGCCATTTCCCCCAAACCAAACCAGCAAACAAATGTAAAGGATGCATGCCATTTTGTGGGCAGGGATTGGGAGGGATGCGGCCGGCTCTCATAATCACGAAATAAATGCACAGACATATACTAGCAATAAATAAATCAATCAATCCGAACAAGAAATGGGGCTGCAACCACCACTCATGTCGGAACAGCCAAAGCGATGCATCAACCATACCCTGGCCGGCGTCGAAATCAGCATGGAAGTCCTGCGCCTTGGGGCGGATGTTGAACCACTTCCTCACGAGGGACTTGGACCATGAAAGCTGCACACATGAAAAGGAGAAGAGCCAGGAGAGATGAGCTGCGGATCACGAAATGGAAAGAGCACCTACTGCTGGTACCACAACCTGAGAAAAATACAGCTCAGATGGACAAGCAACGAGACGGAAAACGATTCTATCTGATCAAGAAGGAAGAAAGAAAACATTGAAGCAGCCGACGATGATACCTTGCTCTTCTTGGCGCTCTCTTCCGTCATTGTCTCATAGCTCCTGCCCAGCAGGCGGCGCAGACAGCAAGAGGGATCAGTCACCCCGCCGCCGCCTCCTCAAGCCGTGATCCCTGGAGAGGGAAGCCTCAAATCCAGGATCCACTCCTCACCGGCGGCGAAGCTTTCACCGGGGATCCCCGAATCTCAGGCCGAACTAGCCACGGGGCAAGGCCCAATCAGCCGGCCGGCCAGCCGCCCGCCACGAGCCGCGCCAAGATTGGATTTTTTTTTTCAGACGGCGGAGCCGCCAGCCCTCCAACCAGTGGGGAGCAAACGGCGCAGGCCGAGAATCTCCCCTGCCGGCAATGCAGCTGCCGCCACCCTCCTCGCCAGCCTAGCCTCAAGGACGGACGACGCGGGAGCTGGGATTCGTCGGGACGAAGACCTACTTGTAGCCTCGTAGTACTTACTCCTACTACTGACTGAGGGAGAATACAGGGGGAGGAGCTGGGTGCTAGGAGCAGGACATGAGGGGCGGAGTGCTTGTGTTGTGTGCAGGGGAGAGAAAAAGGGAGTGGTGGAGGAGAGAGAAAGTGAGGCGAGGCTTCTTGTTTGTGCTGCTCTTTTTTCTCTCTCTACATCCCTGCTCGCGCTGGCTGCTTTGCTTTGGCCTCCTCTCTCCTCTAGCTTTTCTCGACCTTGTCGCCCAAATCCAGGGAGGAGGAGGAAGAGGGAGAAAAAAGAGCGAGGCAGCGAGCAAACGCAAAGCTGCGGGTGCGGGGGGCGGTGACTCGGTGAGGCTGAAGCTCAAGGAACAGGGAGCACAAATGGCAGTGGTCTCGAGTGGTGTGGACAAAGCAGTTTGTTGGTCGCCCCGAGGGCAAATCCGGTACGGAGTAAAAAAATGTAGCTGGCTGGTTTTGGGGTTTCTTGGTAGGATATTTGGAAAAACAAAAAGGCATTTCTCAGAGGCTCTTCGCTCGTCTTATAATCCGTACTTTTCGGCTTGTCTTTTCAACTGGAACATTATTTTCTCACACAACAAATCAGCCAGAACAGTGTTTCAGCTTGTTTTTTCAGCGAAGCGAACGGGGCCATTGTGTCACTGCCGAAGCGTAGGTCATCATACTTGTTATGTACATACATTTCTTTTTATCGTGCGTGTTACTTCCACTACTTCAGACAATATACACATATCCAACACTTTAAAATCATCCTTCGGATAATACATATCAAAAACTTTAGAAATCGTCCAATAAATCGATGGACTTCTTACCGATAGACATTTAACCGACGTGTAATTGTTTGGTTTCCTATAGCCTGCAGCCCTTAACTAGGGAGAAACTCGTCTGCTTGCGCGAGCACGCACCGTGTAATTATTGCGGTTCCTTATAGATAACCCGCAGCCCTTACTTAGGGAGAAATTCGTGTGCTTGAGTGAGCCACGCGCGCGTGTAATTATTGTGGTTCCTTATAGATAGCCCGTAGCCCTTACCTAGGGAGGAATTCGTGTGCTTGCGTGAGGCACGTGTCGTGTATTTGTTTTGGTTCCTTGTAGATAGCCCGCAGACCTTAACTAGGGAGAAACTCATGTGCTTGCGTGAGCCATACATCGTGTAATTGTTTTGATTCCTTTAGATAGCTCGCAACCCTTAACTAGGGAGAAAACTCATGTGCTTGCGTGAGCCACGGCCTGTGTATTTGTTTTGGTTCCTTGTAGATAGTCCGCAACCATTAACAATGGAGAAAACTCATGTGCTTGCGTGAGCCACGAGCCGTGTAATTATTTTGGTTCCTTGTAGATAGCCCATAGACCTTAACTAGGGAGAATGAAACTCATGTGCTTGCGTGAGCACGCGCCGTGTAATTGTTTTGGTTCCTTGTAGATAGCCCGCGGCCCTTAACTATGGAGAAACTCGGGTGCTTGGGTGAGCCACGACCGTGTAATTGTTTAGGTTCCTTGTAGGTAGCTCGCAGCCCTTAACTAGGGAGAAATTAATGTGCTTGCGTGAGCACGCGCTGTGTAATTATTTTGGTTTCTTGTAGATAGCCCACAGTCCTTAACAAGGGAGAAACGCGTGTGCTTGGGTGAGCACGTGCTGTGTAATTATTTTGGTTCCTTGTAGATAGCCCGCAACCCTTAACTCGTGTGCTTGGGTGAGCACGCGCCGTGTAATTGTTTTGGTTCCTTGTAAGCCACGCGCCATGTAATTGATTTGGTTTCTTGTAGATAGCCCACAACCCTTATCTAGGGAGAACCTCATGTGCTTGTGTGAACATACACGGGCCATGACAGAAAAAATGCTATATATATATATATATATATATATATATATATATATATATATATATATATATATTTGTAGAACATCTCTCGTGTTAGCCTTCACTTTTGAAATAATATTACCAACTTTATTAAACCTTAGAAGCGTGTGTTATTTGAAACAGTGTTATCTACACTTGTAAGTAGGAGCAAAATTAGAAACATTACCAACACGTCAATCCAATTCCAATTCCTAAAAAACAAATGGAGCATATAGTGAATCCGTATAAAAATCATGAAAAATATAAGAAAGAGTTCATCTTTTCAGACATCCCAAAATTTATAATGACTCTATTTCTTTGTAAACAGCGCCTTCGAAGGGATGAAGAACATCGACATAGGCACAGAGGTAAAGCATCGTCTATAACCACTGACCTAGTACGTGGCTAAGTTGCTACATGTACAGCACTGTGTGCACTACACAGAAACCCCCTGAAACCAGCAAAGGCACGCCTACCACCATTAGTCACTCACAAAACACTGTTACAACTCACAACGAAGCGAAATGGTACGCACACCCATGCGTGGTGGCCCCCGTGTGCGGGCCCGCATCAGGGGCCCACACGCCCCCTGCGTGCCTGTGCACAAGCCCCTGGCCCATTCTCTGACACCGGTCAGGCGGTCGTGTGTGCTCCCGGACGGATTCGGTCAGGGCCGTCACTCCTCCTGCCACTGTGGAATCCCCACTGTGACACTCACACCGCCTACGAAGTGGGCCTGCGGGTACGCTGCTGACATGTGGGGATCAAACTATCTAGACCCACTTGTCAGTCTCCGTGTGGTTTGATTGGAGGGGGGTGCTTGTTGGCTTGGAGATGGAGGGCTGGCCTGCTTGCAGGGATCGTGGTAGTTAAAGCGAATTAAAGTATGTAAAGATCGAGAGAGAAAAGAAGAAAAAAAGGAAAAGGAAATGTTTGTTGAATGAATCTTGGTCGTGACGAGATGAGCCTTTTCGGTGAGCACAGTAGGCTCAATAATTTAGTCCTTGTATATACATTTGATTAATTTTTTCCTTCCGCGTATTTCATCTGCTCATTTATAGTGATATATGATTGGAGTAATAAATTTTTGTTTTAAGTCTTAAATCGAATACTCCTTCTCATTTTGCATTTAAAAGTTGTATATATACGGTGAAACATTTTTTGTTAACTTGGCACATCAATATATACAAAAAAAGACACCTGAGGTATATAGGAAAAAAGTGAAAAAGAATCACGTACTGTACAACATGGTGCTAGTGCTACGGTTTGTCATTGCACAATATATGCTTCACCTTTGTTTGACTGAAACAGTAGTAATTTTTAGGAAATTAGTCCAAGTCAAAGGCCCATAGTAAAACCATGCCAATGTTTACATTTTGAGACCGGACAGAATACTTTTTTTCTTCTCTTTAGAATTTTACTAGTATAGTATAGACACTGCAGCCTGCCTTGAACAATACGCTAGCTAGGGTGCGCGGGTCCCAGTGACAGGCGGGCAAATGATTTTTGTGGCGAGTCGGCGTCTAAGCACACGGGATAATCATATCGATCACCATCCATCCCCAGCTGATCCTGAGCTGCTAAGCCGGCCGGCGTGTGGTGTGCAAATTAAACAGTGAGAGGACAAGGCGAAAACGGCTGTAGCTTGCTGCTGCTGCCTAACATCTTGTCAAACTCACCACCTCTCTCACCTTCTTTTCTTCTCTTTTGGGAGAGAAATGAACTCAGCTCACACTTAACTCGCTAGTGACGTGTACAGTGTTTGACGGCAACTTGTGAGGTTGCTCTCATGAACGAAGAGACCAGAGCTGCGTGCTTATTGGCCACAATAATATAATTTGGGGTAGATGCAATAATGTTTTGGGTTCGGTTTGGCTAGCACAAAAGGAGACCACGGAGGAGAACATAATTGGTGGAATATCGGATGTATTGCATTGGGCATCGTGAGCTGATTATATAGGATACATAGGAGTAACACCTCACGTGGGTACACAATGTGGTACTATTTCTATTTACTCTAACATCCCCCCGCAGTCACAGTGGGAGCGTTGTAGACGGTGAGACTAGAGAAGAAGCTGACAAAGCTAACATCCCCCTGTAGTCATAACAGTCGATGTGTCGCGTATGCTGTGGCTGGAGAAGAAGCCGATGACTCCTCATTCAAGGCGGTAGCCCTTTATGCCGATGTCTAGGTAGCCGAGCGTGAGGGCGGAGTAGCCGTGGTCGAAGAAGTCGTGCTAAAGATGGTCGAGGTCGACGTACTTGTGGTCGGGTTGCCGTGTCGATGGAGCTATAGGGGCACAAGGGGCGCCATGGTGATGACAGAGACGCGTTGAGGTAGTCGTCATGGGAGGAGGCGATGCCGAAGTCGACGCAGTCAGGGGCGTCGTGGATGTACAAGAAAGGCGACGACACAATCGAGGCAGATGGGGTGGAAACGGGAGGGTCGATGCCCAAGTCGATGCAGCCAAGCCGCCTGAGCGCCGAGGCACGGCTGGATTTGCCAGATCCAACAACACGTCGGGGACGAAAGCACGCGACGGTGTTGCCAATACCGGACGTACAAGGGAGAGGGCCCCAACCATGTGGTTGAGCTGGATGAAGAAGAAGCAATGCGGGAGAGGATGCATTGGCAAGTAGGACTCAACGACGACGCAAGGCGGTGGCCAGACCGGCGAGCAGGGCTCAGCGACGGCGCGGGTAGGGGCAGCTCGATGACGAAGACCCAATCAGCAAGACGAAAA